GGGAGGGAGGGGAAGCCTAAAATTGCCAAGCAAGGCAGCTTATGATTATAAGGCAGGCAGACCTGAGTTTCAGGCCTGTCAGTGTTATATTGTGAGGGCCTGTCTTTAAAAAGCTTAAAATAACTATAAGAAAAATTATTTCTCAATAAAGTACAAATTTGCATTCATAAAACAATATAGGCAAACTGCCACTACTGTTGGTTTCCACCAGAACTAGATAGTAAGACACTATTGCTATAGATACCACATGCTCTAGTTGGAGGACATTTAAAAATAATAATAATAATAAGCTAGAACTAAGATGAAAGCTTCTACTCTGCTGGATACAAGCTAAGGAAGCACTGTCACCGAGTATTAACTCAGCTGTGGCACCTGCATGCTATACTACTATGCAGACAGTTAACATGTACCCACTGACATGGGTAACCAAATGTTTTCTCATTGGATTTGAGGCCTGTTCTACATCTAACAGTGTAAACTAAAGCCCATGATGGAGGATATTATAGGCCCTAATTGGAGAAGTCACTAATTCGTTTTGCTAAATGGACATGTTGTTTCTATCAAAATGCTCTCTAAATGTTTATGGATTTGTTTGTTTGTTTGTGAGGCAAGGTTTCTCTGTGTAGCTTTGGCTGTTCTGGAACTAGCTCTGTAGCCCAGCTGGCCTCGAACTCACAGGAGATCCTCCTGCCTCTGCCTCTTGAGTGCTGGGATTAGAGGTGTGTGCCACCATTGCCTGGCTAAACATTTATGTTTACACCCACAAATTAATGCTGCTGTCAGCTTTGTCAGCTCTTTTTGCAGTTACAGTGGTTAACTGCGGAGACTCACAACTGATCAAGGTGTAGAGGATAAATGACTACTGAAAGGTAACAGCTGTAACATTCCCCAACTGCCAAACAAACTCAAGGAATATCAGGAAGAGAGGAGCAGAAACAGCCAGTAGAGCGGTAGAGTACTACTGTGGAACATTGTCTTTCAAGCCTGACACAGACAGCAGTTGAACTCACAGCAGCAGGGTTAACTGAGCAAGACCTGCAGAAGACTGGGCCCAGTCAACACCCTGCCACGGAGGTAGGAGAAGCACGAGGCACACTCGTGTCCAATGATCAATAGACAGTTAATAGTTGCTGGGGGATGGGGAGTAAAAAGACTTCCTTTAGTGGCATAGCTCTTTATTTCACACTCGTACAAGCACTCTAATTAATGAAGCTCATTGAGCCATTAAAAAAAAAAGACATGAAAATGAAGAGGGACTCCTTAGGAAGAGGATGGTGAACAGTAGGTGAAAAAGGGATAGTGGGCATATATGCTCCAAATGTTAGACAGATAAGGGATAGTGGGTATATATGCTCCAAATGTTAGACAGATAAGGGATAGTGGGCATATATGCTCCAAATGTTAGACAGATAAGGGATAGTGGGCATATATGCTCCAAATGTTAGACAGATATATGCATACGTCATGATGAAACTGGACATGGTGACACATAGCTTTAACCCCAGCACTAGAGGCAGAGGCAAGTGGATCTGTGAGTTTGAGTCCAGTCTGATCTACAAAGTGAGTTCCAGGTCAGTCAGGGCTACTCGGAAAAACCCTGCTGCCCAATAAATAATAAGACTAAACCCACCATGAATGTCAGGAAAATTCACTTTCCTCTGCCCCCCACCTCCCACTGTCCACCCCCACCCCCACCCCCGAAATTTTTTTTTTTTTATCTTGAGGCAGGTTCTCATTTCTCAAACTAGAACTTGAACTTGTGCGGTACACGCTAGTCACAAACTTATGGCCCTCCTGCTTCCACTTATGCTCTTCCAGACGACCTGGGTCCAATTTCCCTCAAGACAGCTCACAACTAACTTTAACTCCAGTCCCAGGGAACCCAACAGCATCTTCTGGCCTCAGGTGACACCAAGAAAGCACGTGGCACACATATATTCAGGTAAGAAAGTAAATCACCTATACACATAAAAATAAAAATGCTGGAAGTGATAGGTGTGGCAGCACACACTTTAATCCCAGCACTCTGAAGGCAAGAGGCAGGCAGATCTCTGTGAGTTCAGGGCCAGCAGGGTCTATAAAGTGAATTCCAGGCCAGCCAGGGCTACACAGTGATATTTTTTTTTATTTTGTTTGTTTTTTGGAGACAGGGTTTCTCTGTAGCTTTGGAGCCTGTCCTGGAACTAGCTCTTGTAGGTGAGGCTGGCCTTGAACTCAGAGATTTGCCTGCCCCTGCCTACCAACTGCTGCCTACCTCCCAGCTGTTTTGTTTTTCTTGTGAGCTGGCACAATAGTAAAACACACTATGGATATCCATCACCCACAGTCTTTTGAAATAGGACAATACCCATAAAAGAATGTCTTCCTTTGAAGTTGAGTGTTTTCCTAGGGGGAAAAGAAGTAGTAACACTGTTTCCCACAGTGTTCTCTAGAACTTAGTTCTGAGGAAAAACAACCTCCATCACCTGTATTTCCAAGATGGGTCTCATTCAGAACACTGATTTTTAGAGGAAATTGACTTACTCCAAGGGCTATGAGGCCCTTCAATGTTTTTGGAAATGCTTGGAGGAGAAGGACTCACTGATACCTTTCCTTTAAACTGTAGAAAACATATATGCCTAGATTTGCTTATATATTCTTCCTTGGGAAGAGATAATATATCAAAGAGACCTGTAACCCCAAAAGCATTAGGAGCCACATTTAACTGAACATGAACTATGGTGATAAGACTCAAATCAAGCAATTTTCTTCTCTAAGCATGCTGCTTTACTCTGACCTATTAAATACTAATAAACGGATGAATTGCTTACTATACATCAGACATTGTTCTAGTACTTACAATTCCAACCCTATGACAGGTGCTACTATTACTCTATTTAGCAGATAAAACAATTGAAGCACAAAAAAGTCATTTGGCCAAGATCAACAAAGAATGTCTGTCTAAATAGCATAAAACTTTTCAAAGCAAAATGTGGCCATCTGCTTGTATATACACTTGCTGCCTTTATTAACTAATGTTCTTTCTGCTTAATGCTCACCTGAATTAGAAAACTCAAGTGACTTTAGAGTCAAGGACTTATCTTCACAGACACAGTGGCTCAAATCTGTAATCCGAGCACAAACTAAATTTCATACCAATCTGAGTATAGCAAGATCCCTAAAAGTTTCTAAATTAATTTTTTAAAAAGTTCATCTCTGCTAGTCTGGCAACTACTCATACATAAAACTAAAATAATTTTTTTTGCTGTTGTCATTTTTAAAGTGCTGGGGATTAAACACAGGGCCTTCCACATGTTATGCAAACACTCTAGCAATGAGCTAAATCCAGCCCATTACATTTAAAAAAAAAAATTTTCATCTTCGGATTTCTCGGGCCTCCAGCCCTACTGCCCAATACTAAGACTAAACCCACCAGGAATGTCAAGCAAATATTCTATCAGTAAGCTACGCCTCTGCCCTCTTTAAAAATACATCAACAAGCCGGGCAGTGGTGGCGCACGCCTTTAATCCCAGCACTCAGGAGGCTGAGGCAGGCCGAACTCTGTGAGTTCGAGGCCAGCCTGGTCTACACAAGAGCTAGTTCCAGGACAGGAACCAAAAGCTACAGAGAAACCCTGTCTCTGGGGGGGGAAAATATATATCAACAACCATAGAAGGTCACATACATCAAAACAGTTGGTTCCTGTCGACAGAGTCTGTATAGTTATCAGATTTTCTGTGCGATGACTCCATACATAAAAAAATAAAAATATATACCAAAAAAAAAATTTCTATCTTTCTATTTTGAGGCAGGTTCTTACTAAGTTTCCCAAGCTGGCCTTGAACTCTTTGTAACGCAGGCTCATCAAGAAAGAACTCGTGGTCATCTTGCTTCCATCTCTCAAGTTCTTGGGAGTTGAGACCTATATCAGTCTTCAGAAATAGGACAATAACCATTTAAAAATACCCTCTCAAGTGAGCCTGGTGGTGATGGTGCACGCCTTTAATCCCAGAGCCAGAGGCAGATTTGAGTTTAAGACCAGTCTGGTTACAGAGAAGGAGTTCCAGGACAGTCACGGGACTATAAAAGAGAACCCTGTCTCAAAACAAACAGAAAAGAATATCTTAGATTGGCTTGGGATTTTTAAAGTTAAACGTCTAGATGGGTGGTGGTAGCACACACCTTTAACCCTATCACTAGGGAGGCAGAAGCAGTCTCTGTAAATTCAAGGCCAGCCTGGTCTACAAATAAAGTTCCTGGACAGCCAGGGCTACATAGACAAAACATGTCTGGAAAAAAAACAAAAATCAATAAATTAAATTAAACATCTAATATGTATGTTGATGTCATGATCCTGTATGAAGAAAAATCTGAACAATCTGTAGAACAGCAGTAAATGGGTTTAGTAAATAAAAGAAATAAGATCCATAAAACAACCATAATTTTTATATACTAGCAACAGTTATAAATTTTAAAAAGAATAAGAAACTAGACATGGGGGCAAAGACTTTTAACCCTAGTGTTCCAGAGGTAGAGGATAGTGAATCTCTGAGTTGGAGACCAGCCTGAGAACAGGTTACTTATTACCATAGTAACTTTCAAGACAGCCAGAGCTATGAAGAAAGCCTGTTTCAATGAATGAATGAATGAATGAATGAAAAATAAGAGAAAGACAAAAAGCATTCAGAGGAATGAAGAAATGGCTCAGTGGTTAAGAGCACTGGTTGATATTCCAGAGGACCAGGGTATGATCTCCAGCATTTACATGGCGGCTCCAAATTGTCTATAACTACAGTTCTAAGAGACGCCCTCTTCTGGCCTCCACTAGTATCAGGCAGATACATAGTGCCTAGACATGCAGGCAGGAAAAAATACTTGTGTATATGAAATAAAATCATTTTAAAATAGTACAGACTTACACCAACAAAATTTATAAGAAATTTAAAATTATTTACACTGTGCTGGGGATATAAAGCCTAGCAATCCCGAGGCCATAGTTTAAGTCCCCAGCACCATCTCTTTTTTTTTTTTTAAAAAAAAAAAAATGGAAGAGCCACATACAATGAGGATCAACCGAGTGGTGCACCCCTTTAATCCCAGCAGAGGAAGGTGGGCAGAATCCTATGCTTTCAAGTCCAGCCAGGGTTTCATAGTGACCAAAAACAAAAAACAAATGAAAACTCTTTTTTTGTTTGTTTGTTTGTTTTTCAAGACAGGGTTTCTCCATACCCTGGAACTCCTGCTGTGTGAACCAGGCTGGCCTTGAAGTCTAGGCATGTGTTACCACTGCCCCATGTGTAAACTATTTCTAACAGAGATCAGAATTGGGGGAGAAAGGGTATTATTTTCTTCCAATGGTATAGCAGCTGATAAACTGCCCATAATCGAAAATAAATGTCCTACCTACACTTAAACCAGCAATTCTGATTACTTTTTGTGACAGAAAGACATGAAGTAAGAAGAGGATTTGTTAAGAAGGTGAACAGAAAAGGGGAATGAGGGTGAAACTAACTACAACTCATTTATATACATGTATGAAGCTGTTACCAGGAAAAAAGAAAGTACAAAAGTTACTTTGCATGACAGGCTTCTTTTTCTGTGCTAGAATCAAACCAATACCTGGTAAGCAAAGAACCCTCATTTGATTATTAATCACTGAGCAAAAGAATCATTAGTTATGGCTTTACTATCCCTGCCAAGGTTATTTTCCTAACAGATGTGTTTCTCCTGTTTAACATTCTCAAAGACTCTCTATTGTCCATAGTAAACCACACACAACAATTTGCTCTTTCTCCTCCTTCTATGTAAGGCAAGAGTTTATTTAAAAACCAAGGCTGAGCCAGGAAGTGGTGGTGCACGCCTTTAATCACTTGGGAAGCAGAAGTAGGTAGATCTCTATCAGTTTGAGGCCAGCCTGGTCTAGTGACAGCCAAGGCTACACAGAAAGACCCGCTCTCAAAATAAGAAAAAGAAAAGGAAGGAATTAAGAGGGCTAGAGTCATAATGGCTCAGCACTTAAAAGCAATAGCTGCTTTCTCCAAGAGTCCTGCGAGTCACCTGGGAACAACCTAGATGCCCCTCAACTGAAGAATGGATAAAGAAAATGTGGTACATTTACACAAGAAAATACTACACAGCAGTAAAAAATGACATATTGAAATTTGTAGGCAAATGAATGGATATAGAAAAAATATTGAGTGAGGTAACCCAGACCCAGAAAGACAAATATAATATGTACTCACTCATAAGTGGCTTTTAGACATAAAGCAAAGAAAAACCAACTTACCGTCCACAACCCCAGAGAACCTAGACAACAAAGAGGGCCCTAAGGAAGACATACATGGATCTAAATAGGAAAAAGAAAAAGACAAGATCTCCTGAGTAAACTGGAAGCATGGGGTCAGAGGGGAGGAGAGAGGGGGAGAGGAAAGAAAGGGGAGCAGAGAAAAATATAAAGAAAAAATTAAAACTCCACAAAATAAAGAGTCATTAGTTGGCATTGAGCTTCCACAGTATGAGGAAAGAGAAAAATTCTGTCATATACTGACCTCTCCTGTATACAAAATGCTTCTTAGCTGACTTTACCCAATATCTTCCCAGGGTTATTAACAAAAAAAAAGAAGCAAGTAAACTCAGCTGAGAGTAACACAAATGCTTCAGGAACATACTTGGAAAAATAAGAGAAGAAACACAGATTTACTTATTTTAGGCAGGGTCTCATTATGAATCCCTGCCTGACCACCAAGCTATCCTCAATCTTGCTATCCTCAATCCTCCTCCCACCTTTTCCTCCAGAGTGCTGGAATTACAGACCAGCGACATCACATTTGGGGGAAAAAAATTTAAGTCACATATAATTTCACTGAAATACACAGCAATTATAATATTTAACACTTTCCTTCCACATTGGTTTGAAGGAGAGACATGAATCTCAATAATAAAGAATTAAACACAGGTTTACAAGATGGTTCAGCAGAAAAAGGCACTTCCTGCCAAGCCTGGTGACCTGAGTTTTGTACTTAGGACCCACATGTTGTCCTCTGACCTACTACACATGCCTTAGCACACATACATCCAGACACATGCACAATAAATAAAATTGCCATGCAGTAATGTTGAACGCCTTTAATTCCAGCAATCAGGAGACAGAAGTAAGTGAATCTCTGAGTTCTAGGCCAGACTGATCTATAAAATGAGTTCCAGGACAGCCAGGGCTGTACAGAAAAAAAAATTATGTAATGATTTATTGTAAATGATACGATTATTTGTAATATAATAAATAAAATATATTATTATTACATATTTAATACAATAAATAAATAAATATAAAATGTTTATTTTTTGCTACGCTCCTGGCCTCTCTTAAGCTATCCTGGCCATATCACCACTATAACTAAGTTCAAATCACATGGATATACAAGTTGAAACATGGCGTACTTTTAAAATAGCCAATTTTTTTCTAATTTATTTTTTATGTATCAGTATTTTATTGTCATGTGTGTATGTATGGCACATGCATGTCAGGTACTCATAAAGGTCAGAGAAGGAACCTAGATACCATGGAGTTGGAGTTATGGATGGTTGTAAGCCACCATATCAGAGACAGGAATCAAACTTGGGTTCTCTGCAATAACTAGTGCTCTTAAATACTGAGCCATGTCTACCTACATCTATACACAAACAAGCACAAACACACGTGCACACACTTTTTGTAACAGTGTTTCACTGAAGAACAGGCTGGCCTCAAACTCAGGGTCCTCCTGCCTTTACCTCCTGCCAGACCACAACATCCAGTCCAAACAGTGTTTTTATAATAGCATTTTAAAGGGTAATATTGGTCTGTGTCTCCTCCATTCTGCTTCATGGGACACAGATGTACCTCGAGTAGCCCATCACAGAATCTTTTTTTTTAATATTTATTTATTTATTATGTATACAATATTCTGTCTGTGTGTATGTCTGCAGGCCAGAAGAGGGCACCAGACCTCATTACAGATGGTTGTGAGCCACCATGTGGTTGCCAGGAATTGAACTCAGGACCTTTGGAAGAGCAGGCAATGCTCTTAACCTGAGCCATCTCTCCAGCCCCGCCATCACAGAATCTTAAAGCAAATGCCATACCCTAGAAACACAAAGGAGACAGGTCTCCACTGAGTGACTCTGCAGTGCAAGCACCATACCAACTTATCTCCTATCCTGAAGAATTTGATGGGAAAGAGAAATAAATACATATCCAGTTCAAGTCCATATTATTCTAAAGTTTCTATTCTAAAAGAGGGGTGAGGTAGAGAGACAGATGGGAGTGATGGCACACATCTTTTATCTTTGCACTCTGGTGGCAGGGATGGGTGAATTCTGTAAGATCAAGGCCACCCTTGCCTGCATAATGTCCTGTTAAAACAAAGGCAGGGATTGAAGGGGGAACCTAGTTCTGACACATCCTGTTGTTGGCAATACAAGCTAGGTCTCCCAACAAAATAGAAATATTTCACTATGTATCAGGTGTGCATAAATCAAAAAACAAAATTCTACCTTGGAGGGGTCATGCATAATTTTTTATCTAATAGGTATTATCTAATTATAGACCATCTATAGTCATAACTACATTTGAAGGGAGAGAGCTTGAGACAGACTTTCCTATATCCAAGGCTAGCCTCCCTCACAATCTATAGTTGAGGATAACCTTGAACTTGTGATTCTCCTGCCCCCACCTCCCCCAAGGTTGAGATTACAGGCACTGCAGACCAAACACAGGGT